TTACATAATCCATGACCACTAACTTAGGCTATACAGGCACATAGCTCGTTTCCCAGTGGATGACCCTGCCTATCAGGGGCCGGATTCACTAACATACGATCGTAACGCATTTACCAGCGGTCATTTACCATTGCGTTCACCAGTCATGGCAAAGCGGGATTCATGAAGAAATGGTAATTTGGATATACTGAGTTACAATCGTAAATCGACTCATTCTAATGGTAGCCAACAGAGGGCTCTGGTAAAGCATTTCAACCAATCAGCGAGCACTATACATAATCTTTTAGATTCCTTCGGCCAATCACGTAACATGTAAACAGAACTAGACACAGCGAGATTGCTTAAATAATCGTCAGAGCTAAAACACTATTTAAGCACATGTAGAAAAAAGAATATATTTATTTGATTATATCCATCATGTTAGATATATATTTACTGTATAGATAGGAACCAATAAAAACAATTATATATTAATATATTATTGTTAACTCAAACCAAAGAGACAGTCCAAACCAATTTTTATTTGTTTTCCATCACTGTTAAACAAAGAATCGGATCAATTTTTTTATTTATCGCCATTTGTTGTCAAAGGAAACATCTCAAGCTTATTCTTGCCCAAATGCACTTTGGAGTGTATTGTCAAAATGCCGACAGATACAGATATTGCTCTACTCATTTAGCGTTGGTATTGCCAGTTTATATAACAGCAAGGTTGTTTTTTTTTTTCTATAGCATTTGTAATAATTAAGTCAGAGAAGAATACCTGGGAAGCTGTGCATCATCACAGTAACAAATCATCTTTACCACTTTACAGTTTAGCACCATACTTATCAGCAATTTCAGCTATCACCAAATTCACTTTGTTTACCACTATTCGCCTTACATCAGGATGAAATCCTCTCATCCAACTCTCTATGTATTTTACGAAACGGGAACAAAAATCGTCCTCGGTGTCCTGGTTTAACACATTTGTCAATACTTTAACTGCCTCTAGACACTGTTCATTAAGAGGATCAGCAGTCCTCCTCCTCTTTGCCTTTGGCTGAAAAGGAGTACTCGCTGGTGTCTGTTGAGGCTCTGGTGAGGGTGAGGGTGGTGGGGGTGATGACGAGAACAACCCAGATGTGCATGGTGTTGGGGACCTGGTCTAGAGAACTTGCACCAGAAAATACACCAGAGGGTTCCAGCACCAAACACCCTGGTGAATCTCTTTCAAGATCCTCTAAACTTGAAAAGTTTTCCATCACTGCTGATGAGCATGTTTGAGGCTAAAAAGGGGAAGAGAAAAAATATATAAGTACAATGGTATAAAATAAAGTAATTGATATAATGAAATTTAAATGTAATAGTAAAATAATCTAATCAAAAATAATAAAGGTTATATATCATGAGTATTAAATAAATATATATTTATATAAAAAGATGTGTGTGAGTGTGTGTGTGTGCGTTTACTAGTTTGAAAGGAACTGCTTTGAACATTAAAGATAAAATAACCTTAGTAACCTTGAGAAAAAAAGTATGAACCTTACCTCAGTGTAAAAGATCTGGCTTGACTGTGTGGGGTAAATGTTCATGGTATCCTTGACGAAGGACATGGCATCAAATAATTCCTATTTTGATTGATATCCTCTAGCTGATCCACTAGGTGCAACCTGAGTTTTCCTGAGGTTCTCATGTTGTATTTTGCCCTCACCTGATCTGGAAAAAAAACACAATAAGTTGAAAATAAGAAATAAGAAAATAAGTTTTCAGCACATTGTGAGTAACAAAATACAATAAATTTATGAGACTTTAACCAAGTTACAAACTGTCTAAACTTCCTGCCTATTTTTAAACTGCTGATTGGGGGGAGGGGGTTCTGTACAATAATGTCTGTATATTTGGAAATTACATAGTGGGAGGAATCCAACCAAACCAAGATCATCACGATCCATTATGTGGACTTATTACAAGAAATACCCTAAAAATTACCAAGTAGTTACAGATATATACATTTTCTTATACAGCAATATACATTACATTAAGATTAATCATAAATTTGCTTATTATTGACCTTCCATAATTATTGGGTACATAAACACACTGGTATATAGTATCTGATAATACAGCCATATTCGGTATAAATTATATCAAATATATAACAAACGTCATCATGAAATAAACTCAAAATAAATGATCATGGAGACGTGTATATATATACAAATATATAATATATATATATATTATATATATATATATATATATATATATATATATATATATATAATATTGTTCTTACCAGCATTAACATTGGAGAGTTCAGAGAAACGGGCACGGAGAAGGAGCGTTATATCGTTGGACGCCTTCCTCTTCAATTTCTTCTTATTATAACCGCCATCCCTGGTATCCCAGAGGCAACGATTCTGGCAAATATTTTCAATTAGGAATCCCTCAGAATGGCGTGTCCAAACTGGAGAACTGGCACAATCCCTGGCGACGTAGAATCTGGAGGGGAATTGGC